TGTTTTCTCCTCCACAGATGCTGCCAGACCTGCTGAGCTTTTCCAGCAACTTTGTTTTTGTTCCTGATTTACAGCATCCGCAGTTCTTTTGGTTTTTGTGTTATACTCTCATGGGTTATGAGCTTGCTGGCAAGACCAGTACTTTTTGCTCAGCATTAATTGCCCTTGAGATGGTAGTGGTTCACTTGATTCACAGATGCAAATGCATCCAAAGTGCTGCTGGAAAAGTGTTCCAGAATTTTGACCCAGTGACAGTGATTAGTTCTAGTCGGGACACTTTTTGGCTTGATGGGGAACTTGCACATTGTGGATTTCCTATGGAGCTATTGTCCTTGTTCTTCTAGGTTATGTAGATCATGAGTTTGTTAAGTGCTGTTGAAGTGGTTACAGCAGTGCCTCTTTTAATTCGCACTGTGTTGGTGGTAGAGAATGAATGTTTAAGTTGCTGCGTGGGGTACTGGTCAAGTAGACTGCTTTGGTTAGGTGATTTGAACTTCTTGAGCTTTGTTGGAGGGAAATGAGATTATTCCATCATATGCCTCAAATGAACAAATATCTCCATATCCAGTCTTGTGGTTAAAAGGCAGGAGGATATTGATGAAGCAACCAAAGATCATTGGGACAAGGACACTACCCTGAGGAAGTTTTGAGGAATGCCCTGGGCCTGTGATAATGGGTTTCAAACAGACAAAACCACCTTCGTTTGTGTTAGGTACTTTCGACCACTGGGGAGTTTTTCCACTGATTCCCACTGACTTTTATCTTGCGAGGTATCCTTGATATCACGCTTGGTCAAATGCTGCCTTGATGTCCAATGCAGTTACTCTAACCTCACCTTTGGAATCCACCTCTTCCTTCCAGTCTTGGATTAAGACTGTAATCGATCCTGGAGAAAGTGGTCCTTGCAGAACTCAAACTGAGCATCAGTCATCAGCTTATTACTGTGGAAGTTGGGCTTGATAGTACTGTTGATGACATCCTTCATCACTTTGTTGATGATCAAGAGAACACTGATGAGGCAATACTTTTGATGCAACATGTTACACTCTTTTATACTTGATATAGATTTGTGAATGTTTTACATTTACAAATATGAAATCTTAATAATTGTTGAATTCTTAAACACAGGACCACAGTTCTGCAGTGACTGACATAGTCAGATGTTAACTATGCAATTACAAAAACCACAAATCAGTGGCCCTCAGTTTAAGGCATTATTATTCCAAACCACTGTCAGGAAAGGCACCTACGGCAAATTTTCCATTGTATTTGAAAGAAGAAATACTGCAAGAAGTTATAGTGCCTACACAAAAATTTCAACCTGCAGAGGTAGTAACAAGAAAGTGGGCTGAATTTCATCTATTTGTCACCACTTTGTTGGAAGACGGAAACCCAGTGCAACTGTACAAATATTTATGTTATATTGCCCTAGTCTTCACTGTTCTTCTGTTGAGTTAAACAGACAAGTGTCAAGAAATTCCAAATATCCAATTAACTGCAACTAGTTAGTGGATTTTGAGTATGTAACAAAGTATTTTCCAGAAGTTCTGCCACATCTACTTATCTGGTAGAAAGTGGGCAGAAATGTGGCCAACATCTAGAATATTGTCCTTTCCATTTCCAGCATGGTAGTAATGTATCCAACTACTGTGCTTTTCAAAATCATTGCTATTAGAAGTAAGTCACTTAGAATTGTATATAACCAATAGACTACAACAGAAGTGAAATGCTTGATTATTTACACGTTTTCAAAAATTGGAAAAGACATTTTTATTTACCTATTTTGTGTATTTACTTATTAATTTCTCAAAATTGCTCTTTGCTTTCTCTAGACGAAACTGGAGTTGGGTGCGAGTCAAATGGAAACTATTATAGACATGGGCAGATATTCCAACCACACTGCCACTATAAATGCACTTGTGTGAATGGTGCATTTGGATGTACGCCCATCTGTACAAAGAAATTGGCAGCTGGCCAATGTAGAAATCCCAGGGCCATTAAGAGATCTGAATATTGTTGTGAAAGGTCCATTTGTGATAAGACTGAAGTGAACAGCCATGAGGCAGCAATGTATAGAGTAATGTCTGGTAAGTTATTTAAATAAATTGACACAGTCTTGAGGTTGCAGATGAAAATAATATATGCCAAAGGAATAACAACTGATGATGCTCAACAAAGCCAATATTTAACAATTCAATTTGATTGACAGGCATGTGATTGACTTGATCAGTTATGAGCTAAGTAACAAACTATAGAATCAAAGAATATTTGGAATAAATGAGATTATGAAATTTAAAATACAAACAGATCCGTCGTTATCTTACTGAAAGGCGGAGCAGGCTTGACGGGCCAGATAGCCTACTTTTGCTCCTTATTCATATGTTCATATGCTTTTGCTTAAGGTAGACCAACCTGTAATACGTGGTAGGCCTCTTTTGGCAGCTGTGTTGTGAAAAAAAAATCACAGAGTAACATTGATATTGAAGAAGTCTGCAAGTCTGTGGCTTTGAAAGAAAAAAAGTATCAAGCTGGCAAACTGGGAATTCAAATTCAAATAAATAAAAATAAAAATTGGCAGTAAGTACAGACTCTGTAACATTGGCACAAAGTTATTTTATAATGCAGCCTTTAGAATGCTAATTTTAACATGTAAGGAATATGAAATTTCAGCATTTCCATTTATTTATAAAATGAGAGTTAGTACATGGTTGCGGAAAAAAAGAACTTTAAACAGTCAAATGACAGAATGCTTATTTTTACAAGTTACATTATTTTTATAAGGCAAGGAACATTTTGGAAATCTGGAATTAGAACACCAACATTCATTTTCTTCGAATAACTTTGTTTAAATATTACGTGGATGACATAATCAGGATGACTTGCCATGTCCAGGGAAGAGTTTTGATTTTGTGAAGATTCGAAACAGCAGCAAGGCCAAACATGTTTAGTCAATTGATTCCTTCTTTGTGGTAAACTTCAGCAGTTCAATACTGACATTACTGTTTATTTGTTTAGTAAAATTATAATATGAACTGATAAGAAGGGCAACATCGATATAACTTGAAAACATGTATCATTTATTGTATTTAGAATTGCAAGGAGCAAAACAGTGATATTTGTGTCAATATAAACCTTTCAACATTGCTCTTTGCAAACCCTATAAATAGAAAACGAGAGGTGCATCTTATTTTACTTTCCCAGACATTTCTTCCAAATATATGAACACAATTTTATGGATCCCCCCATCCTCTGTACCTTCCCTCTTTGACCAGTTGGTGTATGAGGTGTGGATAAGGCCTACTTCCTGTCTTGCCTCAGTTTTAAGGCTGGCAGTTGGGAGGTGGTTTAAAAACAATGAGCTGGGTAGTGGAGGGGCTGCAGGGAGGCCTTGTAAGGTAAAATACTCAAATCTGATTACTGGCCTCTTCCCAAGATCAGGACCCCAACAAACCCTCTTCCCCAATTATCTAGGCCCCTCAACTGTTCCTTTCAGGCCTGCCTTTCAAATCATGACTGTCCATTTTTAAAAATTGTGATACCTTTGCTTCAATAGGCTTTGGAATTATTCTGACATAAGTATTGAATTTAGCCGAATATGTAACAATTCTGTGAATGTGCTTTCTTGCAAAATGTTAATTTATCATGATAGTTGATAAAAAAAATCATAATATAGGGTATGTTGGACAGTCTCATTGGTTCCCATAACTGGTTGGTTAGAGATAGATCCATGAGATCCTTGTTTGCTGCAAAGCTTTTAGTCCTTCAAATGATATAAAAATGTTTACAATTTATTTTGGGCTTGCTGTAATCAAATGACTCATTTATTATTTTATGTAAAACACATTAACCCCTTTTAAGATTTTTTCATACTCTTCCTTTTAAAAGTTTTTTTTCTGCACCCTCGGATGTCTGTCCCAGCAGTCCATTCAGAATGTTACTGCTTAGAATACATATCTATTTTCTATTTTCCAAGCCATTTCACTGCAGTTACTCCCTATCTGCTTCCACCCCAATTTCACTATATCATCTAATCCTCCGCATTTTGCCGCACTGTTTGCTTTTCCCTGTAATTTGCTATTGTCTTAATCTTTGATGAAATACAGTTCACAAAGCTACAATTGTAATTACAATTTGCTATTCTCAAAATTCTTTTGCGATTGCCCTAGAGACTTTTAAAAGAAAGGAATCTCCACGAAGCCAACAGAAAGCTAACTGATGGTCACAATTTCGCTTTTTAAAAGCTTTGCTGTAATAAGCCATTTAAAACCAACATGATTAATAGGTAAAGTATATGTTGAATAAAGAGCTAAGTTTCACTTCAAACCATCAATTTGTCTAAAGATACACCTGACAAGCATATATAAAGGTACATCTACAAGCATTTGCTTTACTTCTTGTATAAATGTGACACATGCACAATCTCTCAGTCTTCCCAATTTAGTCTGCCTCGTGGGATTTTTTGCTTCTCACTCAATTGTTTCTGCATTTACTTCACATTCACCAGCAGCTGTATTCTACCTGAAGTCCCCAGACACAGTTAATACCAACAAGGCACACATTAAACAACTATTTCTCACTCAAAACAAGACAAGGTAGAAGTAGCCCGAGTGTGGATTGGAAGATGTCAGCACAGTCCTCAGTGAATACTTAGTGTCAGTCTTCACAATGGAAACGGACAATTGAGGGATAGAAATCAGTGTGGAACACTGTGAAATATTAAGAAGATATTAACATAGAGAGAGAGGAAATACTAGTGGGTTTAGCAGCCTTAAAAGTGGATAGACCCATAGGCCCGGATGAAATGTATCCCAAGCTGTTGTAGGAGGCAACGAAGGGGACATCAGGGGCCCTGGCGGTAATTTTCAAATCCTCTCTGGTCACTGGTGAAGTGCCAGAAGATTGGAGGACTGTTAACATTATCATTGGTTAAAAGGAAGAAAGGGATAGACAGACCAGGAAATTACAGACCAGTGAATCTAACCTCTGTAGTAGAGAAGTCATTAGAAAGAATTCTGAAGGACAGAATATACCTGCACTTGGAGAGAAATGGATTAATCAGGGATAGTCAGCATAGATGATAAACAGAAATTGCTGGAGAAACTCAACAGGTTTGGCAGTATCTGTGGAGAGAGAAACAGAGTTAACATTTCAAAGTCTAATATGAGTCCCGTGACTCTTCGTCCTGTTTTTATTTCAGATTTCTAGCATCTGTAATATTTTGCTTTTATATGATAGTCAGTATGGATTTATTAAGGGGAGGCTATATTTGACAAATTTCATTGAAGTTTTTTGAGGAAGTAACCAGGAATGTTGATGAGGCTAATGAGTTTGATGTGGTCTACATGGACTTCAGTAAAGCTTTTGATAAGGTCTGTCATAACTTGAGATCCAAGGCAAAGTGGCACGTTGGATCCAACTTTGGCTGAGAGGCAGGACAAAGCGGATGAAGTAGAGGAATGTTTCTGTGACTGGAAATCTGTTTCCCATAGGGTTTGGCAGGTCTAGATGCTGGTGCAGTGCACATTAATGATTTGGATATAGATGTAGTGAGGCCAATCAAGAAGTTGATGGATAACCTGAAAATTAATAGGGTGGTGGATAGCGAGGAGGATAGCTATAAACTACAGGAGGGTATTAACACTGTGGTTAGCTGGGAAGAGCAGTAGCAAATGGAATTCAACCTGGAAAGGTGTGAGGTAATGCAGCTGGGGAGGACTAGCAAGGCAAAGGATTACATTATGAATGGTGGGACCGTGGTAAATTAAAATGAGTTTGGTGTCCATATCTACAGATCCCTGAAGGTAGCAGGGCAGGTAGAACAGGTGGTTAAGCAGGCATATGAGACACTAGCCTTTATTACCTGAGGCAGAGAATACCAGAAAAAAAGGGGTTATGCTGGAACTATATAAAATGTTGCAGAGATAGTAGGAACTGCAGATGCTGGAGAATCTGAGATAACAAGGTGTAGAGCTGGATGATCACAGCAGGCCAAGCAGCATCAGAGGAGCAGGAAGAAGTGAAGAAGGGTCTAGGCCCGAAACGTCAGCCTTCCTGCTCCTCTGATGCTGCTTGGCCTTCTGTGTTCATCCAGCTCTACACTTTGTTATCTCTATATAAAATGTTGGTTGTGCCACAACTGGAATACTGCGTGTAGTTCTAGGCAACGCATTATAGAAAGATGTTATTGCATTTGAGACATTTTAGATGATATTTACCAGGATGCTGCCTGGGCTGGCGGGTTTGAGGAAAAATTAGATAGGCTGGGGCTGTTTTCATTGGAGCAATGAAGGTTGACAGGTGACCTGACAAAGTTGTTTAAGATTGAGTGTGTAAATATTATGTCTTTTTATTTCTTCTGTCTTTAAAATCTGTGGACTAAAATGAGGAAGAGCTGTTTTAAAATCCATGGTTTGAAAGGGTGGCTTTCAAATGTTTTGACACACTCATGTCAGACATCATGTAAACAACTGTTTGAACAAACAGTAATTGAAGTTTGAATTGCAGATGACCTGGAGTTGAGTGGGGAGTACGCATGTAGCTTTAGTTGGCAACAAGAAATGAATTGGGCTATGAAATGTGACCAGTTATTGATGACAGAGATTTTTCGCTTGCCAACAATCATTAAATTGATTCTCAGATAACTGAACAGTTTAGAGATGGGAACAGGTTACAGAGAGAGAGAGAGAGATTGGCGGGGATGTGTTTGGGGTAGGTGGTCCATTCTTCTCCAGTTCAGGAGCAGTCTCTCTGTCCTCTACAGTCAACACATGATGTAAATCTGAAGGAAATCAGCTTACCTTTCTTGCAGTAGATGTAAGATGTGACTTTTAACAAACTATGTCCTTTTATAAGTGCCTCTTACCAACCAGTGAAGCATCTGGAAAAGATGATTGAAGCAATGTATATTCCCAATTTCACTTTGGAGTTAAAGAGAATAACACAGGATCAAACTACAAGTTTTACAACTACAAGGCGTAAAAGTCATCAGAATCCACGTTATCATTTTCTGCTTTCCATCCGTTAGCAGCTCCTCTCTCTTTCTATATCAATTCCTCATCTTTAATTTTATATGCCTTAAACTTGAATTTGAAGACAAATGATGCCTGAATTGCAATGTCTCAACCCTATTTTTGTTTTTATTATTAGCTTATAAGGCAAGGCCAATAATATGGCGAAAAGGATGCCCTCTTCAAACAACTCCATGGAGCTCATGTTCAAAATCCTGTGGCCTAGGAATTTCAGACCGAGTGACAAATGACAACAGCAAATGTGAACTTGAGAGAGAATATAGATTGTGCTTTATTCGACCTTGCAACATAAGACTTCCAAAAAATTTAAAGGTAAATCACCGCAGAATCTACTGGTCACATTATTTGATAGTCAGAGATGGGTTTAGTAGATGAATACAATGAGCCCAAAACTTGATTCTGAGACGGCAGAAATTTTGAATTTTTCAGGATGTGGGTAGTTGCACAATATGTAGAAGTACCTGCATGTTCATTTATAATACCACATACATAGAAGTGTTCTTCTCCCTTGTGCCATCCAGGATCTCAAAAATGTGTGCAGGAATGCCTGAAACTACAATGTTTCCCTAGGAATTCCACTTGATTTCCCCTTCGAGGTTGGTGTAGGGTCCATTAGGCCTGCCAAGGCCCCAATGTTGTGAAGAAACTAAATACCCAGGAGTTTAATTACCTTCACTCTGAATTTGATCATCTTCCTGAGGGAGTTTGCTTTCTGGTACTTACATACTCAGTTCAGTAAGGCCCCAAAACTTTCTAACTTGGATTAGCAAAACTCTTGAAGTTGATGAAAAGAAAACAGTCAGTGATTTCTTACACTTTAATTACAGTTTTGGCACAGGATTACAAACTACGTATCATTTCTTAATCTTATGAATTAGAAAAAAAATGCTCTTATAGAATTCTTATTTCTCTTTATTGTTTGTTAAATTAGAGAGTAATTAGTTAATTTAGAGACTACAGTATACTGTCATCTTTCTAATTACTCTACTGTAATTATTCTACAATTTTTTTAAAGTAGAGGATTCCTGAACCACTGACCAGTTGACATAGTCCAAGAAAGAATATCCATCTATGGTTAACAAATACTCCAGTACAAGTAGACACATTTTTCAAATACACAAGGACCCAGAAGCCACCCACAGAAGTATTCTGAAACACAGAAATTAAAAATAGCTGGGATAAAATGTATAAAAATTCAAAAGAAATGCTGTAATTATTAGGGTGATTTACCAATCCAGCACACTGAGCTACTCAAGAAACTGCAATAGCGTAGCAATCCAGCAGTTGGCACAAATGAAATCACCTTGTATGTTGCTGTAAGAAGCCTTGGAAATCTCAACTTGCACAGCAACTTCCTCATGCTAACAATGATGCACCAGGGTCAATCCTGAAGTTTCTTATTTTTCTCTCCTTGACTCTGAGCTGCTTACTTATCAATCCCCTTTGGTATCTACATCATTCCCTCTTCAAACATTTAATGGAAGGAATGATACTTGGATAACCAAAATATTTCAGCAACAAACAGTTCTGAAGGATCTGCACTGTTTGAATAAGAACAATGTTGTTCTTTAAATTATGGTAATTTGTGACCTGGTATCCAGATCAAGAGAAACCTGCATCCTGCAGCCATTTATATATAACACATTTCAAACAATTGAGCAACATTAAGAGAAACCCATCAACATCCCCGTTGTTATCTTTAAATAACAATGAGAGTCCCTATATCTACTTGAGAAAGGAGATTGAGTCCCAACCTATAATGATAGTTTTCATATTTTGGAATGTAGTGTACCTTAAGACCTCACATGGCCTCATAGATTGCCTGGTAAGAATGCAGCTGTGCCTTGTTGACTCCGCTTGGGAAAACCTGCGATATAATTTACACAGAGCCTCTTGTCGATTAATGACTATTTAAGCTCTTTCGTGCAATTTCTATCAATGCTGTGATAATTGACAGTCCTTTCAGAAGTTCCAAGTGGGGGAATTCAGATCTGAGCTGCTTGGGCAACTGTTTCTGACTTTGTTTGGAATGCTGTGCATTACTGGTTAGTGGAGTTGTTCACTTTTGGGTTGGCAGGAGGAAGCTAGATGAGTGTTTCTTGCTCAGATTATAACTATTCTCATTGCTTTCTCTGATTGGCTTCAAAATGTGTTTTGTGCTACTCTTTCACTTCAACTTTGCTTCATTTCCCCTCTCTGTGGGTTGCATTTTTCTTGCTAATTGCATTGCTCTTCTGCCATGTTATCTTAGTCAAGCTACCATTAGAATGTTCATGTTATCAGAAGTGCAGACCAGAATTTTACATGACTCCAGGAAGTTCTCTGACCAAAGCCATAAGCAAGTACCAAGCCTGTGTGGGTGGGTGGTTGGATACCTTGGGAGATTTAACTGGTGATAACCAAGAATGACTGCCAGCCTGTCATTGCTGCCGACTCGATCAGAGGTGGCACAGCAGTCCCGATGATAGACGTGGTTACAGTTAAGGCTATAGGAAGAAGGCGAGGGTACCTGCCTATTCAGGAGGAACTCGAAAGTGATTGGAAGAAGAAACAGCAAGTGGTCATTAATTGTTAGCTATTTTAATTTATTATCCACCTCCCTCTGGTTGGTTGGTGGAGGTGCTACTAACATTCTGTGTCTGGTGGCTGCCTGAGCATTTTCTTCCAGATGTTTAGTGTTTCCATCCTAAGAGCTTTCACAACTCTCAAACCATCTCCAGGAGGCTGTTAAAACTCAATCTTCTGTCTCCTTTGCTTGTCATTAGCTAATATCCCTCAAAACCCAAGCTTGATCTTTTCTGATTTGAACTCTCTAAATGTCACACTTGCTGTTCATATGTACTGTTTCATATTTTGAACTTTCTAAATAACGTAGTCAATTTAGTTCTTCCTTAGATATTGTTTAGCATGCAGAGCTGATGGTCACCCCATCATATGGTCCAAGCACCTGGTGCTTAGCAATATGCTCAATTAACAGGATTAAATCAATAGGAACCCCTTTTGGTGATATTTCAGCCTTCACTCTTGTTATTCTACCCTTCCCTCTAATTTAGAAAGATGTGGGTTCAAGCTCCATTCTGGAAACTTGAGAACATCATATGGGTTAGCAATTCAGCCAAGTGCTGTTGAAAGTGTTACTTCTTGGATGCGGTGTTTACAAAGTGTCATGGAATGATGCAGCACAGAAGTTTATTCATCCTTTTTACATGTTTCCTCCCATATATTACACTGTTCAACTCTGAAGTGAATCACTTATGCTGCACAGTACCAAAAAGCAATCATTTAAATTCTTTAGGCCAGAGACAGCTCATGAATGTACAGTATTAAAGATGCAATCAAATCTAGGCTCGTTTCTTCCCTAACAATATACCAATAGACAAATTTTAAAAAATATATTTACCATTTCTATCGTTTGCAGGTTGAAGGAGAACATCCGTTATTCTCAAAATAAATAGGGATCATCCTGATTGAAGGATTAGAGATGAGATAATTGTCTCACATTGTGTCAATTTGAATTAGACTGTACACTGTAATATTTCACCTCAGGCTCATCTAGCTTTAATACACACTGTCACTGTCCCAAAACCTTTGTCAATTGATTTTTTTTTAAATCTCAGTGCTAAGTTGTTTCTATGAAAGAAGAAAAGGAAATTGTAGAAAAATCTTTAAATATAATATGTACTTCTAGACTGCGTTTGGCAAGCAAGTATCTGAGTCAAATTTCAAATTTTGATGTCACCACTTCAGAGATCTGCTTCAAGGAGTGAAATTTTTGGCTTTCGTGTAATTGAATATTCAAGCCATAGAATTTGGATATCCTCTCAATAACAGCTTCTGGCTTTTAGTTGCCTTCACAATACTGCAAGTGTGGATGGTACAGCTGAAAGAAGGAACTACATTACATGCAAGGGAACCTGATATTGCTGCAAAACAGCATGACAAGGGATTTTTATCTTTCACTGACTCAGTGGATTTTGATTAATGAACACAAATATGCTTTTTCTTCCTCTTTGTAGAAAGGTAAGAAGTGTCTACAGACATTCCAGCCTTCCAAAGCTGACAGATTTGTTCTTTCTGGCTGCATGAGTAGAAGAACTTACAGGCCGATATTCTGTGGTACATGCTCAGATTCCCGTTGCTGTGTTCCTAACAAAGAGAAGACTGTGAAAGTAGAATTTAACTGCACTGATGGAGAAATGATCACGTGGAAGATGATGTGGATCGCATCTTGCAAATGTCAACAGGCCTGTATTGACTCAGAGGACATCTTCTCGGATTTGAAACTACTGTAGTGCATCATGTATTTCACCATGTACTTCACCACTTGAATGTTTGATTCCTGAGTGACGTTATAGAACAATATACATATCTTGTCCTTAAAAGAACGTGAACTTGCTTATACCATTTCTCTGTTTATGCAACTAGACTATATAGGGAAAAATCCTAAAGTTCTACATCAACAAAATATCTGGAGACAGGCATCAAGTGCAATATCTTCCACAAGAATGAACGTGTGCTTCAATGCACAAGGACCTATTTTTCTCTGGTAAAATTGGATACATTTGTATAGTCTATCTGTGTAAGTGGATTATTTGCATGAGGTTCTTTAAATTTATTTTCTGTTGAACTTTTTGCAGTTGAATACGAATCCTCTCCTATAAAACTGGATATCAAAAAAGTAAAGAAAGTTACAACAATAAATGTCACTACAAATGATATCATATAATTAACGTCATAAATAGACTTCAAAACAGTAATGTAATAGCTACAGCATTTAAACAAAAATAAATATTTCTGCAATTAAGTTACAAAGTCGCTTGGTCAAAATCCTGGAACTCCCTGCCCAGTGGTATTGGGCACTCAAGAAAGCAGCTCACTCCCACCTTCTCAAGGGCAACTGGGGATGAACAATAAATGCTGGGCTGGCTAGGGATGCCCACATCTCATGAATGGATGCATTTTTTAAAGAAAATTATGTTGAAGTAAGTATTATTTTACACATGGAATTGTAGATCCATTGTTCAAGTGTCTAAGTTTGATCATAGATGGTATTTAAAAGTTGTTAACATTGACTCAGTAGCAGCACCCTTGCCTGAATTAAACAGTTATAGATTTACATTCTACTCTAGAGTACAAAATGCAGCTTGACCCTTGAATGTCAATATAAGGAAGTGCTGCATTGTCTTTTGCATGAATCAAATATCCATTTGGTTTCTCAATTGAATTTAAAAGATCCCATTACACAATTAGAAGAAGAGCAGGAGCAGTCTTCCAACATATTGGCTAACATTTATCTGACAGCCAACACCTAAAACAGGTTACTTGGTGGTTAATGTCATTGGTATTTGTGGGAACGTTGTTTGTACAAATTGATTATCAGATTTCCTGTAGTACAGAAGTAATTGTACTTTTTTAAAAAAAGACTTAATTGACACTAAACACTAAGATATCCTGAGATTTTGAAAAGTGCTATATAATAGCACAAATTTCTTTTGCATTCATAATGAACACTCTAGAGTGCTTGACAATATCTTAATACATTCAGCTATCATATAACCAGAAGTTGCAAACATCATTTTCAAACTCCAATCTGTTAACATATTAAAAATGTAAATGATGAAATGTCTAACTGCATAATTCAAAGCTTTACATTTTGCAATATATTAACCAAATAACATGTTAATATCTTATACAGATTGGTACACTGTCCACAAAACATTCTTAGTCATATCACGGAAACAGACCCTTCGGTCCAACTAGTCCATGCCAACCATAATTCCAAACTAAACTAGTCCCATCTTCCTGCTCCTGGCCCATACGCCTCCAAACCTTTCCTATTCATGTACTTATTCAAATGTCTTTTAAATGTTGTAATTGTACCCCCATCCGCCACTTCCTCAGGAAGTTCATTCCACACGTGAACCACCCTCTGTGTAAAAAAAATTGCCTCTTACATCTTTTTAAAGTCTCTCTACTTTCACCTTAAAAATATGCCTCCTAGTCTTGAAATCCCCCAAGCTAAGGAAAAGACAACTATCATTAACTCTATCTACACCTCTCATTATTTTATAAACTTCCTTCAGGTCGCTTCTCAACCTCCTACGCTCCAGTGAAAAAGTCCAAGCCTATACAGCCTTTCTTTATAATTCATACCTTCCATACCTGGCAACATCCTGGTAAATCTCTTCTGAACCCTCTCCAGCTTGATAATATCCTTCCTATAACTGGGCAACCAGAACTGGACACAGTACTCCACCAGAGGCCTAACCAATTCCCGATACAACCTCATCATGACTTCCCAACTCCAATACTCAAAGGACTGAACAATGAAGGTAAGCATACCAAATGCTTTTCTCACCACCCTGTCTACATGTGATGCAAACTTCAAAGAATTATGTACCTGCAACCCTAGTTCTACAACGCTACTCAAGGCTTTACCATTAATTGTATAAGCCCTACCCTTGTTTGTTGTACCAAAATGCTATACCTCACATTTATCCAGACTGGACTGCATCTGCCATTTTTCAGCCCATTGACCCATTTGATCAAGATCCCTTTGTAATCTTTGAAAACCTTCTTCACTGTCTGATATGTCACCAATTTTGTTTTCGTCCGCAAACTTACTAACCATGCCTTCTATATTGTCATCCAAACTGTTTATATAAATGACAAACAAAAGACACCTCAGAACCGATCCCTGTGGAACACTGCTGGTCACAGGCCTCCAGTCCGAAAAAACAACCCTCCACCATTACTCTCTGTTTCCTGCCATTAAGATAATTATGTTACCAACTGGCAAGCTCACCCTGAATCCCATATGACCTAACTTTACTAATTACTACTTAACATACAGAACCTTGTCAAAGGGTTTACTAAAATCCAAATAAACAACGCTTACTGCTCTGCCATCATCAATCTTCTTGGTAACCTCTTCAAAAAACTCAATCAAGTTTGGGAAACACAATTTTCCTTGCTCAAAACCATGCTGACTATCCCTAATCAATTTCTGCCTCCCTAACTGCCCATAAATCCTATCTTTTATAATCACCTCCAACAATTTACCCACAACCGAAGTCAAACTCACAGGCCTATTGTTCCCCGGTTTCTCCTTACAACCTTTCTCAGACAAAGGCACAACGGTAGCCAACCTCCAGTCATCAAGCACCTCACCCGTAGTTATAGACGATGCAAATATTTCTGCAAGGGGTCTCGTAATTTCCTCCCCTACTTCCCAAAACATTCTGGGATACTTAGATCAAGTCCTGGACATTTATCCACCCTTATATTCTCTAAGACCTCCCGAACTTCCTCTTCTGTAATGTGACAGATAGTAAGAACTGCAGAGGCTGGAGGCAAAGATAACACAGTGTGGAGCTGGATGAACACAGCAGGCCGGGCAGCATCAGAGGAGCAGGAAAGTTGACATTTCGGACCCGACCCGAAACTCAACTTTCCTGCTCCTGTTCTGTAATGTGAACTGTGTTTAGAACATCAAAGTTTATTTCTCTGCATTCTCCACACTCCATTTCTTTCTCCAAAGTAAAAACTGACGCGAAATATTCATTTAGTATCTCTCCCATTGCCTGGGGTTCAACACAAAGATGACCTCCTTGATCTTTCAGAGGGACTACCCTCTCATTAGTTGTTCTCTTGCTCTTAACATATTTGTAGAAACTCTTTGGATTATTCTTAACCTTATCTGCCAATGCTATCTCATATCCCCTCTTTGCCTTCCTGATTTCTCTCTTAAGAATGCCCTTACACTCTTTATATTGCTTAAGAGATTCACTTGAACCAAGTTGTCTATATCTAAAACAAGATTCTCTTTTATTCTTGACTAGAACATCAATATCTTCATTCATCCATTGTTCCTTAATCTTACCAGCTTTACTCTTTTTCCCTAGTTACAGCAGTAACGTATTCCTTAAACAAAAATGCCACACCTCCCCCCCACCCTTTCTTGCCTCCTTTTCTATGCTTCCTATAGCATCTAAAACCCAGAACATTGAACTGCCAGTCTTATCCGATTCTTAGCCTAGTTTCTGTAATAGCTATGATGTCCCAATCCCATGTTTTTAAACTTGCCCTGAGTTCATCAGCCTTACCTGTAAGACCGCTTACATTGAAATAAATGCAATTTAGTTCTTCAGAGTTGCGACATACTCTGAGTCTCTCTTGTCTTTCTTTTCTGATTGATGTGTTCTTGTCACAATTGAACCTTCCCCATCAGTCCTTCTGTTTACACTGCTACTTAAAATTCCTCCACTCCTGCTCTCTATCAGAATAATGTTTCCCTTAATGGAATGAGCAAATCTCCCTACATAGATATTGGTTCCTATCCAGTTTAGGTGAGAAACATCCTTTTTGAACAGGTCTTTTCTATCCCAAAAGACATTCCAATTTCCTAAAAACCTGAATCCCTGAACAATAGACCAGCTCTTCAGCCATTGATTTATTTCCTTTAACCTTTTGTTCCTTCCCTCGTTTGGATTTGGCACTGGGAGTAAACCAGAAATTACTACTTTCAAGGTTCTATTTTTTAATCTTCTATCTAACCTCTTAAATTTACTCTATACTGCTTTAACTTTTTCCCTAAAAATATCATTCCTACCAATGTGTATAACAATTTATAGCTTCTCAATCTCACCTTTAACAATATGCTTGAAACGTTTAGAGATGTCCTTAACCCTAGCACCAGGAAAGGAACAAACCATCCTAAATTTATGCTCACTGCCACAGAATCGCCCTGTCTATGCCCCTGACAGGAGAGTCCCCTATAACAATAATTCTATTAAATCTTGTCAAACTCTGCCTAACATAAGAATTGTTCCAAGTGTCCAATAACTGACTGGCCCTTCCATTTTCCTTGGAGAGACTATCCCCTTCTACAGTTTCAAAAACTGAATATCTATTTGATAGAGGAATAGCGACCAGAGACTTTTGAACTACCTTCTTACCTTTCCCGACAGTCATCCATCTGTCTGACTGATCCTGCTGTGTAATGACTTAAAACCACTAACCATCTCACTATGTACCAATGTCACTAACCTAAGAATTCAAAAATGCCAAAGGTATTTTTTAAAAGTCTAGTCACCATATCCATCAGCACATATCACATCCACTTGAGTTTAAATTCCTAATTAAATTAATAATTAAGACCAGGACATCAGTGGAGTGCAGACTGCTGCCTTGCTGGGTTAACTGAATGTTATTGCGATTGTGAAGGATGACTTTATCTTTACAAAGACTATACATTAAATTCATATTGATAGTCATGCTTTGTCCATTTCCACATTTGACATTAAGACATTATTTATGGACCTGAAGGAAGGAATTGCCATTTGTGCTGCATCTGTATTTTTGAACTTAGCAACTCATGCCATTGAGGCAGTTTTAATGACACTACAGCTGAACTTTACAGACTCCTGCCCCGGGGTATGAGTCAGACCTCACTATTCCTGGAGATGCAACATTTTCCAATTTACCTGTTTTTTTTTTCTCATACCCAGGTTACAGAAAGCAAGGGTTTTTGTAGCTAATAAGAATGACTATTTATTATAAATAAATAGATTTTAGCTGCAGGTAAACAATTATGAACTATGAAACTCAACTAGTTAAAACTATAACTCCCTGTAAAACGTTCCCTACACATGCATACAGACAGACGCAAAACAAAACACTGGTGTGTTAGCAAGAGGAAAAACTGGGAAAGTAATTTAATGGTTCAGGTCAACAAAGTTCGCTAAGCTGACTTGTCAGGTCTTACTTTTCATTGATCTCTCTCTTTCAATTGTTGCAGGAGGCATAGAGCAATTGCTTCATAACTTATACAGTCTCTGACTTATTGGTTAAAAGCAACAACTACAGCAAATACTCAGGGAAAATAAACTGGCTTTCACCAACTGGCTTTAGGAGTTATTTGCTAGAGAGAAAAGGACAGCACTTCCCATTCCAGAAGTCCAAAGGCATCTTGTTCATACGCACAAGCGGTTCGCCTACCTGGGAGCCACCCCTGACTCTAATACAGTTGTGGAAAGCATCCACAAGCCAACCCTCTGCGGGGCTATTGACAATCTTAAGTGGCCAATTAATGCTCACTTAAGGACTTTAATCTGCCTCCATCATCATAATATGCTGATCGGCAAAAGTTGGCCTAAAGTGGGCAGGTGATGTTTTTAAACCAGCATCGATTTAAGGGCAGAAAGGGAGGGGTTTACTCCTTTGGGGAATGCCCCTTGTGCATCAGGAGCGTAGCCTTACGATCTTACTCTCCCTTGGTATCTTCTCACCTGGCCTTCCAACCCCTTACCGTACTTGCACCCAACTTGATCCCTCCCTGTCCAAGGTCCCTGACTTAGCTGTCTACAGGATTCATGACCTCCTTTTCCCAGGGAATACTGCAGCTGCCAGACTGTTCTGAAGATTGACGTCCCACATTTGCCTTCTTGCGGTTTCCCAGAGTGTAGGCAAAGCCAGTCAGGATCACTGTTTCTTCTGACGATGGGAAACTGTACAACTTCACCCCCAACTTCCCCAGATTCAGGATATTTATGCCATGGAATTCCTTCTAGGTCCACATCTCATTAACATGTTTGTCAGTTTCTGTGAGAAACATGTTTTGGTTGGAGAAACCCTAACCTCCTATCAATCAGGAACCAAATAAGTGTCATTTTCCACTAACAGGATATTGCCATCAGTCCAAGACAATGTTCTGCCTACCAAACGATTGAACACATAATTTTAGTGCTGGTGCCTAATTTTTTGTAGTAAGGCTAATTGAATTGTTCATAGTAATAAATAAAATTAAGACAGTCAAGCTAATAATGTGGTTCATTTACACTGCAACTATTTTTGTCTCTGCAAAGAAAAGGAATATGCTCAAGCCTTGTTGAATTATCTGGGAGGTAATTAGGAGGCTGTAGTGCCCATTGATTTCTGCAAGAGAGTACCTTGGCCATCAAAGTCAGTTTGCCAACCAAACAGCACCCTTTTGTCTTTAGTGTAAATGGTTGTGATTGTTTGAAATTTAGGGTTATTGCATTTGTCCTAATGCATGTATAATGAAAGGCTGGAGCAACATTACTCTTTACAGCAATATTCAAGTTATGAAAGAAGTTTATGAAAGTTTATAATGTTACAAATCATAATGGATAGTAAGTTGTGAGCAGGACACAAAGGCTGCAGAGACAAATAGTTTAAGTGAGTGGACAAGATGACATATAAGTATGAGGTTATTCACTTTTGTTGTATGAGATGCCTGGATTTTCCCTTTACAAGGTAAATGTAAAGACCTTTAGAACATTTTACTTTAAATTAAGCCATTTCTTGGAACCCACATGAAAATAATTGCTGGGCTTGGTTGCTTGAGCTCAATTCAGGAAACACACTTGACTGTTTTGAGACTAGAATTTATGACTGTTTTGTTTGAACAATGTTTGTAGATTTGGACTTTGTGTTTTGATATTTCAGTTTGGAAAAGCCTGCTACATAACAATTTGTTCAACTTATGACTCTAGTTTTGAAAACACTTTTGCTCCAAGATGAGGGTGAAACCCAATAGGTTCTTCTGTAAGAGTGACTGAAGAAACTTTTCAATATTGTATTTTCTGAGCAATTTGTGTCTGTCAAGACTCTGCCAATAACCATGCGTAACTAGTGACTTAACCACGTGTGCAAGGACACCAGAATGACAAACCTCTAAGCATTGTACATCATTTGTTTTTGGATTCAAGGATAACAAGAAAAGCACTTTCTGACCATAATGAATCTCTACAGAAAAATCTATTCTTTCCCTTTATCTGATGTGTATGTTTGTTTGTTTTGGACTATTAGGACAGTAAACATTTATATTATCATATTACAAATTATGTATTAACCAATTCTGCATCTTCATTGAACAGTGCTTTGAGTTATAATAAAATTATAGTTGTGTTTATTAAAGAAATGTGGATGGACCTTTTCATTATAAGTCCCTTATAGAGGAAGTACACATCAGACAGTGTCAGGATTTGGGTATAATATTTTCACTTTTTGTTGTGACCCATGGAGTAGAGAGACTAGAATGACAGTGCATTCCTCCTATCTCGATTGCAACACTAATCAGTAGACTCAGTTGGAATGGAATTAAAAGCTGCAGGTTTCAGTTGAAAGAGATGCAAATAAAAAACTTCAGCAATTAAGCCTTTTTGATTGAAAACAGATCAAACAATGATATTTTCTGCACTTGGAACTTATACTCAATGGCTTGATGTTGTGTATGCAAAATGTATGAAAATTTTAAATTTTCTGTAACATCACTCACTGTGGAGTTAGTAACTACTTGCTCATATTGTGTTTCTCAAAAAAGTGGTGGGACTTGCATTATACAAAAAATACTACTTTGAACGTGCATTTGGAAAAAGTGTAAGTGCATATCATAAATGAGCCAAATAATGGTGAAATAACTACATCAAAATAATTTTAATAGAACTATCAATACCAGAGAAGTCAAACATTATTTGATAAATATATACAAACAGCATGGAACTTGCATGCACATTAGTTTAAATGCAAAAACACATTCTACATACCCATCTTTTAAATATTAATACTCTATTAAACTGTAATATTTGTGCAGTCGTTAGTTACCCTTGGTATTTCATTCACAGAAAGGTTTTTGTACAGATAATTTATAAAAACGAGTAATATTTATTCATTAGTATAAGCAAGAATGCAACCTAAATTGATTATTTAATAGAATCCAGAAAAGGAATTTGTATAGTTTATTTGCCTGTTCCAATTTCATAGAACTAAGAAAAGGATTTTAATTACGGGAATTCAATCAATTCAACAACTTTTGGAGTGCCATTTTAATTCTTTGCAGATCACTAATATGTCAGTATCTTAACCATTTGGTAATGGGGACAAATACCTGCGAATCATAATCCTATGGCAGATTTTTTTCCAAATGTTCCATCTAAAATATTGTCAATTTCCAACATCACAGAATTGAATTTTATGCAACTTGTAGCAGTAGGAACCATGGTGATTGGGTCCATTTAATTATGGTTGCATGCAATGGTGCCACCTCTCCCAACAGTCTCAGATGCACCTGCACCCACAGTCCCCACCCCAGATGTCAGATTAGCCTTTTTGTGAGTGAACCCTTTGAAAGTGACTGGCCTGGATAGAGACCTTGGCCGTGCATTTAGATCCTGTATGGACCAGCTGGCAAGAGTATTCACAGACATCTTCAATCCCTCCTTACTATGATCTGAAGTCCCCACCTGACCATCATCCCAGTGAAAAATCATGCAGCATGCCTCAATGACTACTGCCTGCCTCTGACCTTCATAATTATGAAATGCTTTAACAGGTTGGTCATGGCTCACATCAACACCAACCTACCAAATTGCCCAGTCCACCACGCAAACCAGCCTTCCATCCACTGACTCCATCTATACATCCCGCTGCTGCAAGAAAGCAACCAACATAATCAACACCCCCTTCCACCTCAGTAATATTCTCTTCAACCCTCTTCCATCAGGCAGAAGATATAAAAGTTCAAATACACCTATGAACAGATTCAACAGCAGCTTCTTCCCCGCTGTTGTCAGACTTTTGAATGGACTGCTCAAATATTCATTCCAATCTCTCTCGCTGCACCTTCTCTGTGGCTGTAACATTCTATTTTGCAATCCGTTTTGCTGCCTTAACGCACTTCGTATGGTATAGCATGCAAAACAACACTTTTCACTATCTCAGTACGTGACAACAATAAAATAAATCAATGTCAGCTTCTCAGCAGCAGGAAAACTCCCCTTGATTAATTCAGAGGACGGAAGGGACTGACACGACATTGCTGCCTACTTGATTAGAGATATCCAAGAAGCTCATTTATGATCCAAATTACACTTCAAATTACATCTCTGACTCCACTGCAATTTAGTGGTAGCTCAGGGATTAAATGGAATTTGCACACCCTTGGAGGCTGTTCAGGAAAACCTCTCAGGTTTGCTAGAGACCAACCACACAATCCCGTGGAGCAGTCACCCTTTGTCTGAACAAGGAACCTGGCAGCAAACAGTGAGTGGCCATTGAAAGCTACTTCTTCTCTTGCCTTCCACTAGCCCTTCAGTGGCCTGGGATCTGATGATGATAATAGACACAGGTTAGATGCGGTGCCATTTGTTTGGCCAGCAACTCTTGACAGGCAGAACTATTGCTGCTTGGAAACTCACCCGAGGCCTAAAAGTGGCCCACTAATTGCCTGAGGGGCACTTGATTCCATCGGGCCTAGCCCATGAAACTGATGGGGATTCACTACTGGTGCTCCGATAAGTATTCAAACAAAATCTTTGCCAAACTGTCAAGAATACGGAGGTTGGCTTTTCTCCAACCTTAATTTACTGATGAGTGTAGTGCTTTAACCATTTTCTGGGTGAGAATAACATATCAAGCATCCCAGCAACTTTGTTGGTCCATCTACTTGTACTTAGATGTGTTGGCCAACCAACTCACCAATGTAAGAGTATTCAGATAAACACTAATTGTTTAGAAGAATGCACATACAGAATCTTACACCAGAATACATTTCATGTCTTGCAGAATTTGGTCTGTGTCAGGTGTAAAGACCTTTCTGGATTTCAGCAACAACTTTTTATATGCTTTTATGCTTATAAGTGTGCACCTGATTATTTCCATTTTTTTGGAAAATAATTATTACTGAAGTTAGTATTGTAATAGGGGTTTAACACCGTTCCTTTCATGATAATATTTTATGACGCAATGGAAAGGCGGGGCATATTGGTGACTGGTAGTCCTTTAGTAGCATCCAACTGGTTGTATTCCTCTATTAGGGATGACAAAGAATTGTTGGCTTCTGTAAAACAACTTTGTTCCATTCCATCCACGTGGAGGTAATGATGAATATGAGCCTGAAAAGGCAAAATTAGCATAATTAATTATTCAAACAATTCACTGAAACCTTGTGATTGATAGCAACGTCTGATCACTATGTGGTCAAGCTGCATTAGGAAAGAGTAATAATGCAAAGAAATGTTAATGGCAGAATTAATGAACACTTGATTTTGCTTGCTAAGTGGTAGCTAGAGATCCCGCAAAGTCTTAATCACTGTTTTTTAAAACAATTGTACACTAGATAAAGCAGAACACTGCATCATGAGAAATGCTTAAGTAATCTGACTAGTTTTATTATTTTATTTATCCCTTAACTGTGTTGGTCTGTCTGTCTTTTGTGTCAATGGGGCTGAAAACAAAGGTTATTGGGTTTAAATTATAGAATCAATTAGATTACATTGTTGTTTAATTTTGCTCTAGTAAAGTTACTGTATTATTAATAAATAGCTGTATTTTGTTGAAGCTATAAACCTGCTGTCAAGAATTGATTATTCAAAGAATCTGGAATTAGTTATTCAAAATGAATGTTTAGGAACCATTGGGGTCAATTTTGAGGACCTTTGATGGTTTTAGTTTTATTGTGTTGTGAATACAGAGGTAGGAAGGCTGAATTGATTGGGATGTCTACCTCCATGTCATAATACTTGTCGTATCAATGTTTCACTTGGCTCTCATGCTAATATTTTTTATCCTGGGCCTGTTGCAATGTTAGCTCAGTTTGCTGGATGGCTGGTTTGTGGTGCAGTGTAACACCAAGAGTACAGGTTCAATTCCAGCACCAGCTGAGGTCACCGTGAAATTCCCGCTTTCTTGATCTTGTCCCTTGCCTGAGGCATGGTGACCTTAGATGAAACTCACTACCACAGTTGTCTGTCTCTATCATTTAGACTGAAAAGCACGTGTAACATCTAGTTCCAAATTTTACATTTATTTCCCCACAAGAAACAGAGGGAACTAATACATTGACAAACAGAACACAATTTCCTGGGTGGAATTTACTGTAGCCCTCAGCATAATACAGGGCTGTGAGCAGAGGGCTTTAAAATGGTGAGGCAAGTGCAGAAGTGACATGCCTGTTGTCTTCCCAAACCATGGAATCATATCAGTGCCAAGAAAGGTCATGGACAGTTTTCCCACCCAGAGGCCATAAGTGGTCCTAAAGTAACACCCCACCTTGTCATGATTAACGATATACCCAATCCATCTCCTTGCCAAAGCCCACATGACTGGTCCAAGAAACCTCAACTCTCCTTTACCTTCTTGAAGGCTGCATCCATTCACAGCAGTGGCCATCTCTGACTTGCTGGTAACTCTTAGAGGTGGGATAAAATCTCAAAGGAATAGTAGCTCCAACAGCAGCACTTCAATTGTTGATTGCCACAGAAGTTTTGGTTGGGCTCCCTGAAATGGCCACGATGCTGCCTTGGCTTTTGGGCCACTTTATCTCAATAAAGTTTAGCCTTTTGTATTTATACTGTGCTTATCAAGTATATCGGTTGGGAGTGCTGTGCTCCTTTGAAAAGCCTGAACAAAGTTTGAGCTTTGGGGTCTTCCAGAAGCCACCATTCTCAACAAGGTAACAAGCAACAATTTTCAGAATGTATGCTTATTATTGACTTGGATGCAGATGGAGGAACTGATAGCTCCCTTTGTTTGCAGTATCATCAAATTGTGACATTAGTGCAAAGGAAACTGCATGAGGATATCGATCAGTTTACAACAAAAGGACGAAATTCAATGTCAATAAGTACAAGGTGATACGGCGTGGTAAGACAGAAATAACTGTACCTCTCCCACTTACAACAGGATATATCTGCCCCTCCTTTCCAATCCAGCTAATACTCCTTTAACTAATATCTTTTTTTTATGCCATTAACCCAAGTCCTTAGACACCATTGAGACATATGAATTTACCTTTTTCTTATAAAGTTTTACAAATCGATCCTTTAGATCTGTGAAGGTAGACTTAACACAAGTATTATTAGCTAGTGCCAATAAGGAGTGAGTGTGACCAACTGGAGGTACTGAGCACAGACTTGTCTTCCAACCTTCCTGATTCCACGGGATGAACTGGAGAGAAGGTTTCAGCCTGTAGAGAAACATAGGGTACATCATTCTGGATCATAACTGCAGCTTTCACAGATGTTAAAGTGGAATAATACTACAAAATAGTTAATGAAGAAACAGCTAAGTAATCACTCTTTCAATTACTAAGCTCAAATTTCTGGGGTAAAAGACAGTTTTTTGAAGGTATGACTAAGAATGTAGATGAGGGCAGTGGGATAGATGTTGTCTACCTAGACTTTAGCAAGGCCTTAGACAAGGTACCATATGGTGGGTTGTTGAGTAAGGTTAAATCTCATGGGATCCAGGGAGAGCTGGCCAATTGGATATACAATTGGCTTGAAGGTAGAAGACAGAAGATGGTGGTAGAGGGTTGTTTTTCAAACTGGAGGCCTGTGACCAGCGGTGAGCCACAGGCATCAGTGCTGGGTCTACTGTTATTCATCATTTATAAAAATGATTTGGATGAGAATTTAGGAGATATGATTAGTAAGTTTGCAGATGACACCAAGACTGTGGTGTAGTGAACAGTGAAGAAAGTTATCTGGGAATACAGCAAGATCTTGATCAATTGGGCCAGTGGGCTGACGAATGGCAGATGCAGTTTAATTTAGATAAATGCAAGGTGTTGCATTTTGGTGGGTCAAACTAGTCCAACACTTACACAGTCAATGGTAGGGCCCTGGGGAAAATTATAGAATAAAGAGATCTAGTGCTTTAGGTTCATAGCTCCTTGAAAACGGAGTGACAGGTATACAGGGTGGTGAAGGCGGCTTTTGGCCTGCTTGCTTTCATTGGTCAGAGCACTGAGTATAGGAGTTGGCAAATTTCGTTGCAGCTGTACAAGACGTTGGTAAGGCCACATTTGGAATACTGCGTACAGTTCTGGTTGCCGAACTATAGAAAGGATATTATTAAACTAAAAAGATTGAAGAAAAGATTTACTAGGGTCTTAGCTGGATTGGAGGGTTTGAGTTATGAGAAGGGCTAGAAAGGCTGGGACTTTTTTCTCCGAGTGGAGGAGACTGAGGGGTGACCTTATAGAGGTCTATAAAATCATGACAGGCATAGATAAGGTAGATAGCCAACAACTTTTCCCATGACAGGGGAGTCTAAAACTTGAGGGTATAGGTTTCAGGTGAGAAGGGAGAGATATAAAAGGCTCCTGAGGAGCAATTTTTTTCATACAAACGGTGATGAGTGTCTGGAACAGGCTGCCAGATATACTGGTGGAGGCAAGTACAATTTTGTCATTTAAGAAACATTTGGACAGGTACATAGATGGGATAGGTATGAGGGGTATATAGGGATACAGACCAAATGTAGGCAAATGGACTAGATTAATCGTGAAAACTGGGTAACATGGACAAGTTGGACCGAAGGGTCTGCTTCTATGCTGTAAACCTCAACGACTCTTACGAATACTCAGGCTCTTAAACTAGATTGCAACAGGTCTTCCCCAGAAGTCCCACACAGAGAATTAGAGGCTAGCAGCACATTAAATGGCATTGCCACCAGGAAGGTAGTAGCTCCTACTGGTGCAACACCCATCTGAGGCAAAAGATCACAGTTATATCACAGGATTCCAGGTGAGCTGGCTTGTAATTCTCCCTGCAAAGCTGGGTCAATACTAGAGACAACATTAACTGCCTATATAGGGGCCACAACTGGCAGCAGAATGACAATGTTGTCCACAGGCTTCCTAACCGTGGAATCAACAGGAGTCCCTCACCTGCCATGCTCCTACTTGATTAAATGACTCCCTTGCCACCAAATTCCCATGTAGTAGGCCATCAAACTCCAATCCAATTGCAGACTGCCAATTTGCTCCTTCAGAACCAGAGCAGGCAAGGGACAAAATTTAATTTGCTTGTTTTAACAAAGCTGTTTACAGTTTCAATTCTTTTTGAATGGAAATTATTGGTTGAAAACCTATCTTACGAGAAATTGGCTATACCTAACTCAATGTTTATTTAGGCAAAAGCAGTAACTTAGGTAAATGTGCTTTTTCATAAGAAATTAACCACTTGTTCACATAAACCAGGAAGACACAAAATTAGACTCCTGGTCTATATGCTATTAGCCAGTTTCAAAGGCAGGGAAGGGGAAATGGTGACTCCTCTATGCATCACAAGTGTACATTCCAGAAATGCTTACTCCAAGTAAACAACAAATAAGACTGGAACTTGCATAGCGTTGTTGCCATTCTCCTTTGAGATTGTTAACTTGCTCGCTGTACCGGCTGGTTGTAGTTCAGACGTTTCATCACAATACTAGGTAACATCATCAGTGCAGCCTCTGATGAAGCGATGTTGTTCTACTCCGCTTTGTATTTATATAATCCAGTCTGTTGAGGTGTTTTGTGTCATTTCCGGTTCTTTTTTGCAAGGGTTTGTGGATGGGGTCTAATTCGACATGTTTATTGATTGCATTATGAGTGCAGAACCAGGCCTCTAGGAATTCCCGTGCATGTCTATGGTTGGCTTGAGCTAGGATGGTCACGTCGTCCCAGTTAAATTGATGGCCGTCATTGTCCGAGTGTACTGAAATGAGGGAAAGTTTGTTGTGTCGTTTTGCTGCTAGCTGGTGTCCATGACGAAACATCTGAACAATAACCAGCCAGCTCGGCGAGCATATCAACAACCTCACCCACAACCCGAGCTACACATCTTCACAAGAGTCTTAAGCCATTCTCGACCTAGTATTAAATGCTAATCTTAACGTTAAACATTTTCACAAGAAAAAGTCAATTTTTAATTATGCATTTTTCCTTTTTAAAAATGATTAAACATTTTATTATGAATCTGTATGTTAGTAGCCTCTCTTGTTCCCTCTCCTAATGAGTGACAGGTTGATTTTGCAAAGTACCATGGAACGCAGTGACTGGTTAAAAAATTGCATTAATTTAAAAAGTTACAATCATCGTTACAAATTTTTGCTAATCGCAACGTGTACAATTTATTCATCACTTATAGCTGCTGGTCAACTTCAGTAGGAAGCAAGAATTAAAATATAACAGCTTTGTTCATAAGAAAGAATATGCATACTTTCTATTAAAGTAATTCCAAATTCAGCAGGATATCCTGCTCAAATTGTAATAATTGTCAGTTACTTAAACAAATTAGTATTAATTAATTATATAATGGTATTCAGATTGTCCAAACAAAGCAGATACAACGAAACTGTTGTGCTTGTGAAAAAGTCAAGCATGAGAAGACACAGAATTAAGTGATTGACATATAAAGCAAGGCTTTTCTGTACATTGAATCATTGCAGTTTGTAGCGCACTGCCTCCGAGTGTGTATTGGAGGCAGGTTTGATCATTCAAAATGGAACAGGACCATTATTTGAAAAGAATGAATGGGAAGGGTTATGAGAAAAAGGTGGGGAATGGCACAGGGTGAATTGCTCTTTCGGCCAGCTATTCCAGATACAATGGGCCGAGTAACCTCCTCTTGGTACAACAGTTCTGTGATTCTGTGGGTGATTTGATGAAACATAATTTTCTTTTCCAAGTATGAAACTTCCAAACGAACAATAGCTATATTAAATTAACATAACAGGATAGCAAAAGATGTGGTTTAACGTGTGCACATTCAAACCTCTCAATGTTTCTTCGAAGATCAGAAATCTGAACATTTCCTCGGACCATCAGTGCACAGGCAAGGTACAGGTTACGTTTTGGGTCAGCATACATCAACTGGTGATCCTTACTAAAAGCATCGGTGAACATCTGATCCAACCTGTTTAAATGAAGAATCAAAGAATGTGCAGCTGGGATAGTTTGCTGCGTTGTACACAAAATATAAAAGCAACTTCCTCACATTAGAAGTTGTGTTAAACTTGGAGCACTGGTTTCTAGTCATAAACTAAATCCTGGAATTTCCACCCTACTGGCATTGTGGGTCTACCGATAGTAAATGGACTGCAGCAGTTCAGGAAAGCAGCTCACCGTCAACTTCTCAAGGGCAAGTAGGGTCAGGTAATAATCTGGCTGATAGGGCTCAGCAGCACCATAGGGGAGACCATGGTTGCTGCATGAAGGACAGGCAATAGAGTGCCAAGGTCATAGACAGATCCAGGCCATGGAAATGTAATGCAGCATGAGGGAATTCATGGAATGTGGATCATGGGAAGAGTACAATGGGGAGGGGGGAAATCTCTTGTCCAGACACAAAGGCCAATCCTATTTTTTTTTACATATAGATTTAACTGGACTTCCTTACTCTAGTGTTCAATGCTCTATTCCTAAAGCCCAGGATCAAAATGTTTAACTAGCCACATTCTCAACCTGCCCTGCAGCCTTTAATAATTTTTGCATTTATTGCCACAGGTCCCTTTGATCCTGCACCCCCATTAGATTTGAATCCTATAGTTTCTGTTCTCTATCCCATTCTTCCTGCTAAAATTAGTCATTTCACATTTTTCTGCATTAAATTTCATCTGCTACTGATGTACACATTCCCCCAACCTGACTATATCCTTCTGAGGTACAACTATCCTTTTCACATTAACACTTCTTAATTTTACATCATGCCAAATTTTGAAATATGCATAATGTACTAATGTCTCAGGAATTTATTTAATGAGTAAGAGCAAGTGTCTTAACACCAACTCCTGCAAACTGCCATGATAAAACTCCCTTCATTTCAAAATCAACTATTCACTACTATTGTTTGTCAACCAGCCATTTTTGTTTGTATGTTGCTACTCTCCCTTTTATTCCAGCTCCAACTTTGCACCCACACCTGTTGTGCAGCACTGATTTAAATGCCTTTTGATATCACCACATCAAACTGCATTATCGTCATTAGACACACTCTTGCCTTATCAAAAAGCACAAGGAAGTTAGTTAACCACTTTGTCCTTAACAACACTTTGCAGGAAACCTTTTGGGAGGATTTCCAGAAATCTTTGCTTCCTTTTAAAAGAGATTACTTCCATCTGCTAATCTATTGAAAAGGAACCATGAAGTCCTCGCTAATGATTCATCACGCACAGCTGCTAGAAATCAAATTCAAACATTCATTTTGTGTTGAATTAGCTGATACAAGATGGGTTGGTGATATTCAAAACCACAGGATCAGATTTCATATGTCGTTGATGGAATAAAGCTTTACCTTTCCACTGAGGTGTGCAACTGTCTGCTCTGTATTTGATGTGGTTGTTCCTCACCCCGATTGATTGTAACTGAGATGCAGTTTATTCCATATTTAACCTTGTACACACCTGGGTGATCCTCCTAGTGACTGAGTTTAAACTTTGGCAGGAACCTTCTCCCGAACTCCAGATCTTACAGGTTTGCGAACACCATCCCTTCCTCCCGCTCTTACAATTTCACCAGCATGCCACTACAATTCATTCAAAATATTTCTACCACTAATCCACTTACTCACTCAAGAGTTCCACACTTCTGAGCCCTTCCACTTTACCATGCACACCGGCTGCTTCAACTCCCTTGGTTCAATTTCAAAACCACTTTGTTTACATTCAACTGTCTCCTTTGACCCTTCTTGCAGTTTTATTTCTCAGGGATTGGTTTCTTCCTTATTCTCTGTTCTCTGCACTCCAGCATTGATTACCATTCTTTAGTTATCACATACTGGCCCTCTGGAACATCTTCTGACTTACTGCCTCTTTTCATATTATCAAGAATCTTCTCAATACTTTTCTCTTCTGTTTCTCCTATCTCTCAATCCATCAGCTTCTTTTTTCATTTTGTATTCAGGTTTTGCATATATGTAGTCAGTATCTGACCTAATCACAAAGTAGGTAGAAAAACAGTGGCAACGTAGTAATGTCAAAGAACCAGTAATTGAGAGACCCATGCAGCAATATAATTTTCTTTCCAAAGAAACTGGCAAAGGCCCTACCTTCTTGTGGGGATATTTACATCAGCCAAGGTATATAAAGGAGTTAGACTAGAAACAAGGTAATGAAGCTGTGGAAATGGAACCAGGTTCATGGTGATTTCATTAAGATCCATATTGAGAGAACCTTCAAACCTGGCAGAGCTGCAACAAAAACAACAGAAAGCAAACTAATACAAACACTGCCTACACAATCTTGAGTTTTGTGAAATGCTGTTCTTATTCATCAGAAAATATTCCATTACATCAACTACCAGCATGCAAACACAGAATTAAACAAACTGCAACGTAGACAGATTAGAGTAAATTGAATGTTCAAACGTACTGTTCATGTTACATCTGCAGAATTTTCTATTATCTCTGTAACTACTTAAAACTCCAAGCAATAAATCGTGTCTGCAAATAAGTAAATACTACGTGAATACTCATGGTATAATTAAATAGTATGCACTCCATTAATGCTTTCCTAAAAACTACTTCACACATATTGCTAAAAAAAGTAAAACATTTTTGACCTGTGTGAAAGAATGTCGAAATATAAGTCTATTAATAAAGCAAAGGTTACTTCAAGTATTTGATTAGTAAAATACCTGATGATAATATCTCATTTTGTAAGGAGCTAATTATTTTTACAGAACGCCGGTAAACCCACAAAAATTCAAAGCCCACTGATCTTGTAAAGCAATGGATATACATTGTTGAAAAAATGTAACTCTTAATTTCAAAAACAATTGATTGTCGCTTCTGACCAGATCTTTTAGCCAGGAAAAGATTCTGCAGGATTGTTGACTAACTCTTTTGTTAAGAGCCAATTTTCTCTGTAGAGTTTTAAAGCATTCTACAAAATACAAAGTTGTTTGCAATGAAATGTCCATTTGAAAAGCAACTGAATGAACACTATCTAAAACAATAAGATTTTGATTTCACAATGGAGGACAGAGTACATTGAGATTTTTTGAGCAATTATGCAACATTGACTATTTTATTACATGCATAAATAATATTACCAAAATTTGGGCAGGGGAACCAATGAGGTTTAGATTTTTTAAACAGTTTCTTAAACAACTGGAACAAAGTTCTAAAGAATCACAGCTAGCCTCTTAACCAGCCTGCATCAGAATGCACGCAGCCCCTTGGCTTTTGAGGATTTTCTTCAAAGGTCTGTGGGCCTGACTTAAACCTGCCCTGCCACCTAGAGAGAAAATTAGGTCTAATAGGGCTTTATAAACTGAGACTAGTTTGCACAGTCGTCAGATTTCCGGACTCTCACGGGTAAAATTCAGATCCCTTGATTCCATTACTGGCTTTCCTTCATTCTTCTGGAATACTCTCAAGATCTATTTTTACCTTACTTCATCTAACTATTTCAAAACATTCAAGCACCTCTCTCATCTCTTCACTCTGAAACAAAAGATGCTCTATCTGCAAGTGGTTCCAAACATTTTTAAGCATTTTCTCTTCTTAGAAAAACCCTTACTATTTCCCTTTATCTTGATTTTCAGTTTCTATGCACACCCTTAGTCCATCTAATCCCCTTTTCCATTTTCCTTTTCTACATTTTAAATTTCTCACTGTCATCTGTGTTAGTTCTCTTATATTGATCATTTGGCTCTTCTATAATTCTTTATTTTGCTCTTTAGGAAGACCCTGCATTTGGTGTCTATATGCAAAGTTAGTCAAGTATCATACTAGAAAAGAGCCAACTGATCCATATAGCCTGCTATATTGTCATAATGGCTTCAGCATCATGTGACAGCCTCTTCATATGCACATCATAATCTTCCAAGAGAATAGAAACAAAAGGTAACAACACTGGTCAATTGTGGCAGACATTACAGAATTTCTTTCTGACCCCTTCATATGGTCAAAACTAGCCCACAGTTAACGGAACTTGTTGGAATATTGCAATTATTTATATACGCATTCACTCACCTAGTCAAATTGAGCAGCAAGTTAGCTACAATATTATTCATAGCATCAAATGGCTTTTCCTGTTGTTTGACTTTAGACTGACCAGAAATCAATGTACTTTGATGTTTTATTGCATTTGCTGATTTACCAGAATTGGCCATCTGATTGATTTTGTTGACTATGTCAATCAAGGACTGTTTTAAGAAAAAAAAACAAAGTTTAGAGAATATTTTGAAATTTAGTGCTATATGAAAAAGTAATTACATTAGTATAAAACAAAATACATTAGTGACAAATACAGGCCTTACTGTTTTGTGGGGAGACATGCAGAAACCATGGCAGGATTGTAGTAATTGGGAAATGCCAAAAAAATGCCATCTGAAAATTTTGCCGAGTTTAACAGAAGGAATTTCTTTTAAAAAAAAAAGTCTGTTTCTTGGTCAGGAGCCAGCCAGTTTGATATTACTGTTGAGCAGGAAGAGGGAGCTTGATGACAGGGTTGGGATACATGGAAGCTGTAAGCTGGGGAAACCAGTCAAATCAAAAGCTTTTGTGACAACAAGGTGTAGGGCTGGATGAACACAGCAGGCCAAGCAGCATCATAGGAGCAGAGAGGCTGACGTTTCGGGCCTAGACCCTTCATCAGAAAAGGGGGAGGGGAAGGGGGTTCTGAAATAAATAGGGAGAGCGTGGGAGGCGGATAGAAGATGAATAGAGGAGAGGATAGGTGGAGAGGAAACGAACAGGTCGAAGAGGTGGGGATGGGGCCAGTAAAGGTGAGTGCAGGTGGGGAGTTAGGGAGGGGATAGGTCAGTCCAGGGAGGACTGACAGGTCAAGGGGGCGGGATGAGGTTAGTCGGTAGGAGATGGGGGTGCGGCTTGAGGTGGGAGGA